AGGAGATGAGAGGGGAAAGCAGAGGGGAGACAAGCAGAAGGAGTGCGGTGTGAGGGAGTCCGCTGTAGAAGCAGTCGTAGCTGGGGATGACAGCCTTGATGAGGGCTGCCAGAGTAGAAAGATAAGAGGCTGTGAGGGGAAATCAAAGGTGGAATCAGAGGGGAAATCAGAGGGGAGATCAATGGGGAGACAAGCAGAACAGTGCAGTGTGAGGGAGCGGCTGCAAGAAAAAAATTGAGGGGAGACAAACAGGCCTGCAGTATGAGGAAGTGCGGTGTGAGGGAGTGCGATGTGAGGGAGTGCGGTGAGAGGGAGTGTGGTGCAGAAGCGAGTGTAGTTGGGGGCGATGCACTGGATGAGGGAAGTCAGAGTGAAGAGCTCAATAGCTGTTGGAGGATGGACTCAGAAAGTTAACAAGGAGACTAAAATCAAACAAGCACCTCTCTGAGGGAGTGGAGTGCGGTGTGAAGGAGTGCCAGGTGAGGGAATGTGGTGTAAGGGAGAGTGATTTGTAGCTTTGGGGTGAAAGATGATTCTCTCACTTTCTGCTGCAACAGCATCGTCGTGCGAGTCAGCGCTTGCAGGGCCATCCGAGCAATAGAGCACCATGTCCAGCTCCCTAGATGCCCTCACGCTGGCACGGTTGTTCAGAAGGTCCTGAACGTGAGGAAATTCACAAGAGGAGATGCACGAGGGAAATGAAAAAGCACACTCTAGCCAAAAATAACGTGAAATTGCATCCGAGGCCAAGCAAGAACAGCAAACCGAGGCCACAGCGGCATCCGAGCAGCAAAGCATAATGTCAAGCTCCCTTGTCGCCCTCGTGCTGGCATGGTTGGTCAGGGGGCCATGCAAGAACAGCAATGCACAAGGAGAGTTGCATAAGGCATGGAAACATCACACAGTAGTGCAAAGTGTCATCAGTGCACAGGGTCACACAAGGGAGAGACGAATCACGAGCCGACACGAGTCAGAACCTCGCAGCACAGAGCAGTTACCTACCGACGACGACGAGACAGACGCAGCTTACCCACCTAGTGGGAGTGTTCATTCCCACAGAGTTGGGTCCCCATACGAATGACAGGCCCACACGAAGCAAGCACTGAGCGCAGCCCACCCTGTATAGGCCAGCGAGGAGAAGTAAAGCATTCCAGAGAGAAGAAGCTGGCACTCTATTTGCACACCCTCCCTTCACTTCAGACGGCCATGTACCTGGAGCGAGTCTTCACTGCTAAAGCGGTGAGTTCCGGGACGACTTTTGAGTCGACTCAAAAGTCAACACTCTATTTGCACACCCTCCCTTCAGTTCAGACAGCCATGCCATGTACCTGGAGCGAGTCTTCACTGCTGAAGCGGTGGGTTCCGAGACGGAAGACGGGCCCACATGAGGCACTGACAGCAGCATGTCCCGCATAGGCCAGGGAGGAGAAGGAGGCAAGCAGAGCATCGAGCGCGTGCGCAGTGTCAGCGTGGTCGAGCGGCTGGACGTAGGGGAAGACCTTGGAGGACGCGGACTGGGAGAGGAGTGCCTGAAAAGAAAAGGGAGTGAAGAAGGAAAGGGAAGAAAGACGGGAAGGGAGGGGGACCAGGAACGGGGAAAAGAGGAGCGGGAGGGAGCAAAGACGGGTACGGAGAAAAGGCGGGAGAAAGGGGAGGAAACGGAAAAAGAAACTGAGTGAAAACGGAGGCGAGGGAGGAAAACCAGGGAGGGAGAAAAGGGAGGAAAAGAGAAATGAGAATGATGAGAAACGAAGGGAGAGGAGGAAGGAGAGGAAAGGCGAAAAGCAGGGGAGGAGTAAACAAGGGAGCAAAGCCAATAGAGGAAAGAAGGCGAGGAAAGGAGTGGGGCAAGGAGGGAGAGAGGGAAGAAGGCAGCAAGTGCAGACGTGAGAACAGGGGGACTGAGTATGCGCACATAAGAAAAAACACCTTGGAAGTTTCGAGAGGAGCAAGGAAAAGGGAGGGAGAGAGGATTGAGGGCGGCAAGCGAACAGAAGATGAACGAGGAAAGTGCTCCTCAGACGTCTGCGTGAGAGGATGCGAAGTGAACTATAGACTCCACCTCCCCACTTTCCAATCCGCCAACCCTTTTCCCCTACGTACGCCCATTCTCCCCCTTTCCCTCCTCCCCCCTCCCCCCTCCTCCCTCCCCGAACGTCCCACACGCCATGCCATACTCTACCATGTTCCCCATAGAACTTCTCCGTTTCTCCCCACCCGCTTCTCCCACCCCATGCCTTTCTCGGCGCTAGGAGCGTACCTTCAGAGGCTCAACGGATCCAGTTGGAGACGACAGGTCGATGGTTCGAATCTGCAAAACAGCATGGAAGAAGCAAAAAAGTAAGTTTCCACGGCTCGCACGCAGGACATGCGCAGCTCCCAAAGGTGCTACCGAAAAAAAGAAAGACGAACATGAAGTGAACGTGGTGCAAGACAAGAACGGACATGACAGTTATGACGGTGATGAAATATGTAGACAAAGTAAAGACTGACTAACCTCCTTGCCCAGGAACACGAGGACCACGCCAGGCCTTTCCTCCGCGAAGGATGAGAAGATCGAATCCTGTAATCGACAGGAGGAGAGAGACGGGTACACGAGAGCGAACGATCGTTTTGAAGTAGGCCACAGAACAGGAAGTAGTCTTATGGAACGAGTCCATGCGTGCAGGACATGTGTCGACATCCTGATGCAACGATCCAAATCTAATGGCCCTGTGAGTGAAGCTCGGTGCACTCAGACGTTACTCGATTTAAAAACTACTAGAAACGGGGATTCAGAAGGAGGCCGCTTCTGACTCACGACATACGCCAGCGTCGCATGGCTGGCTTTATGAAAAGGAGGTGTTGACGACATGATACGACACACTGAAAGAGTTATGGAAGATAACAGGGACGCTCGCCAATGACATTGGTCAACAATCCGCGAATGAGGATCATAGGGCCAGCGAAATGGATTGGGTTATATCAGGACGCGTGATCGTAAAACGGGTGTTCTTACATCGCGAGAAGGGTCGAACAGGAGAGAAGGAAGAGCGGATCCTTGAACTGACTCGTAGCTGACAGCTTCAGTCGGATCTGACAACCTGCGGAACCCTAGAAGTTAGTCGACTGAACTGAAACGGCGATGCGATCAGTAAGGCTTTTAATCATATGATCCTCGTAAAAGAACAAAGCTTGGACGAGGCTAAGCGAAATACCTGACGCTCGAGCTGAAAATGGCAGGTACAGCAGCGAGGCTAGGAGGAACCAAGCACACCAGAATGGTAGCAATCCCGAGTAGCCCGAGCAGAGCTTTTGATCCGGCCATCGTTTTCTGATTATACCACTTAGGGAAGCAAATAAGCGCTTGAAGGCGGCAGCAAACAATATTGCTGCTAAGCTCGGACTAAAATGCAAAAAATCTCGAAGTTATGGCTCCTCTAGTAAAATTCCTAGGTATAGTTTGATCAATGTTTCCTGCAATATGTCTAGGGGGTTCACCTTGTTCGGTTTGTTGCGTTCCAAAGCGGTAAAAGTGGAAGTCCTGCTAAATCGCGAGGAACCCAACTGAACCGCATTCGAGGAACACACGACCAATTGCTGCTGCCGCAGCTCTCGAGGGTCAGCTGGATAGTTCAGGTGGCATTAGGGCGTGTTCCACGAGTTCGTTTACAGTTCAAGTTCAGGGCTGTAACCCTGTTTTTCGTTTGTAACCCTTCCCTTCATGACATGCGTCTTCAATGACGCACCTGATGACACGCCTAAGACGTCAAGAGGTTCGTACTATCCCACGTACAAGGTACGTGAGATCACTTCGTGCTGGGTCCTCCATTCCGTTACCCCAATCGGAGACTTCGCGCACATTCAGTCGCGCGAAAAAAAAAAAACAAAAATTCGCAAGGGGCACAGTTGATTCGCACTGTGGCGAGTTACCGCTCGCGGCCCAAGTTCGGATGACGATTTTTGTATGGGTGGGGCTATGAGGCCGCGTGGGTCAATTTCATTTGGCGCTGTGCTGACGCGCCTCGTGTTTTTCACGTCAGAGTGTACACTCTTTTGCTTTTTCGAAGTTACGTAAAAAATATGTACTCTCCCCAAATGAACTCATGGGACACGCCCTTACAGCAGGAAAAGCAAATACCCTTGTGGTGGTTAACGAACAGCTCTGTCAGAGTAACAGCCCTCCGCAATTTCGCAAAAGCCCTGGACGTACTTCGGTCGCGTTTGAGTTGGTGGCTGGGCACGTGCTCCTGACGAACTCCAATTTTCGTCGGCGTGTGTTACGAGCTTCGCAAAACTCAGCAACTCACACATCACCATCGGGAAAGCCTGAAATATCAAACCAATCAGCGAGCTGCAGACAGCAACAGCAAGCTGCAACCATTTTGAACAGCAAGGAAAGGGAGAAAATGGTTCCAAGGCATGGAGAACTCGCGCCACCGTTTATTACCCTGAGGGACCGAAGCGTCACAGCTACGTAACGTTCACGAAGGTATCCCACCGAACTACAACTCTCCGAGACTTTCTTGTTTCAAATCAAGCTTATCCAGACACGACACGTAACCGAACCAGTGAAGGCCAGGCGACCAGGCAACTACGTCTAGGTTTTACCGTTGCTGATTCATAAATCTATGGCTCCCCCTCAGGTTCACCGTCTTCCAACCTCCACGTACAGGCGCGTAGCCTCTTCCCTGTCACCTCCACTTCCCTCGTCTCTACCTGTGATCAAGAGCTTCTCTAGTGGTTGTGTATTCCGTGCGGCTGCGATCAGATCGTTCACCAGATCGTCGTCGCGAACGACCATCCGTTTGCTGAGCGAGCCTACAGAGACGAACCTAGTGTTCACGAAAAGCACAAGCGGGTTACCGAAAGTTTCGCTTTCTTCGCCTACGCTTTCTTCGCCTGCGTCCTCTTCCATTTCTGTATCCAACTCGCAATCTTCGCCACGACTGTCCCTCCTCGCGAGATTTACATCAATTTCGTCGTCATCATTCTCATCAACTTACCGGTCTTCGCCGATCATGGCTGCAGCTCCTTGCGTGCAAGCGTTGGAGCAGCGCCTTCCTACTTCGCCGGTTAGCCTTCCATTTTCGTCGCTCCACCGTCACGCCGACGGACGGCCGAGAAACCGCGTCAGGGTCAAGCTCAACGACGAGGCCGCGTTTTTCCAACCGCTGACGGCTAGCCGTCAAGTCTACGCCGGCGTGACCGTCAACGCAGCCGGAGGAAACGGGGCGACGATCCCGACAAGCGATTTACCGCCGGAGGAGAAGCAGAAAGACGTGGCCAGAGACAGTGGGGATGGGGCAGGGGCAGCTGGGAGATCCTCGGGAGCTTCCGAGGAGAAAAAGAAGGAGGAGGTGATGACGTTGCCGACTATCCTAACGATCGCTCGCGTCGTAGCAGTTCCCGCCATAATTCCCGGTACGTCCGATTCAGGAATCCCTAATAGTGAAAGACCCAAATTTCATGCTGACGATCGCTCGTGCAGTAGAGGTACTAGTTAGTGGTGATCTGTTGACAATGCCTGAACTGTTCACGATACAACAACGCTGCTAACCTGAACCTTTCTTCCGTTCATTTCTTCCTCCTGGTGTCCGTCCCTCTTTTTCTTCCTTCCCTTCCAGCGTTCTTCTTCACCCCGGGAATCGCCACCGCCATTTTCATCATGGCCTCGATCACTGATTGGCTGGACGGGTACCTGGCTCGGAAAGTGCGTTACATGGTTACTGCTTTGTTTCTATTCGCTGCTCGTTTCGCTGCATTTAGGATGGTCTAGCCGTTCCATTGGCTGGATGGACTCGGAAAGTGTGTTACATTGCTTGTATTCGCTTCTCGCTTTGCTTCATTTACTGTGGTGTATCCCTTCGTCACCTTGTTTCTCCATCCCCCCACCCTCCCCCTCTCCCTCTTCCCCCACACCCTTGCCTTCCCCTTACCCCGTGATTCTTCTTCCCCGACCCTCGCCCTCACCCTCACTCTTTTACTATCTCACTCTCTTCCGCCGGTTTTCTCACTTCCTCCTACATTCTCACTCACATGCTCTCCTAATTTCCAATTCACACACACTTTCCTACTCTTGCTGTTTCGGATGCACACATGCTCTCATACTCTTACTGTCTCCCATTTACACATGCTCTCGTCCTCATTCTGTCTCCCATTTACACATGCTCTCGTCCTCATGCTGGCTTCTGTCGTACTCTGCTGTTTTTTTATGCCTTGGGGGATTGATGTTGCAGATGAATTGCAGCTCCGCTTTCGGGGCTTTTTTGGACCCTGTTGCGGATAAGGTGAGCTGTGACTTATATATGTGCTAGCGCACCACAGGCACACATGCATGCAACATGCAACACGCATGCACGCACGCACACACGCACGCACGCACAGGTGCGCATGCGGTCAGATGTAATGCAGCAGATTTGGGGCATTCCTGAATCCCGTGATCGGTTGGGTGAGCCTTGAATAAATTGCGTGCAAACGCACACATATGCACACATGCATGCATGCGTGCACACAGGCAGACTTGCATAGCACATACGTGCACACACACGCACACTGTCACTCACACGCTTACGCACACGTTTCAGATGGAGTGCAGTTCCGCCTTTGGTGCATGTTAGAATCTTGTTACAGACCGTGTATGCATTGGATGCTGAATGTTTTGAAGTGCAAACTGCACACCCACCCACCCTCCTCCTCTCCAACACAAATGCCTCTTCTCTCATGAGCTTTCCAAAACTTCTCCCATAATTCTCCCGGCCTTCTCTCTCTCCCCTCCACCCTCTCTGTCTCTACCTTTCTCTCTCTCTTCGGCCGGGTCCCTTCTTCCATCAACAGCTAATGGTTGCAGCAGTGCTCATCCTTCCCTGCACCGAACCCCCACCAGTCATCCCCTTTCTCAACCATTGCTCTCTCTCTCTCTCTCTCTCTCTCTCTCTCTCTCTCTCTCTCTCTCTCTCTCTCTCTCTCTCTCTCCGTTGCCCCTGTCTCTACATCCCATCCTCCCTTTGGCCCCTCTCCCCTCTCCCATCAACAGCTAATGGTCGCAGCAGTGCTCGTCCTTCTCTGCACCGAACCCCCTCCTGTGATCCCCTTCCTCCCATGGGCCCTCCCTTCGTGGACCATCCCACTCCCCGCCATCGCCATGATTGGCCGAGAGATCGCCATGTCAGCAGTCCGGGAATGGGCGGCAGGGGAGGGAGAGAAGCTGAAAAGGGCTACTGCGGTTAGCGGATACGGCAAGTGGAAAACGGCCACGCAAATGGTTGCAATTACGGTGTTGCTCGCCATTAGATCTCCCATGTGAGTACCCTATTCCCTCGTCAAAAACCCCCCCAACCCCCCACACACATACCCCACCCACCCCTCCCCCCCCCCCCCCCCCCAACAATCCCCCTCCTCCCTCCCCCTGGTTCTGGACGAATTCCATACAACACCCTAGAGTGTTTTGTACGATGGAATACGGTCAATCCTATCATTTGCTCCCATGCATCTTCCTTTCTATCTAGCAGCCAATCCTATGCATGAACGTCAGCACCAGCTGTTTTGGCTTGCAGTAGTGTAGCTGCTCGTGCCAGAACAGCAGCGGTGTTGACTTTTTTTATTTCCTTCTCCTATTTTCTTTTCCTTTTTAAACAGGCTACAGCTACCAGTTATTGGACCATTAATCGGTACATCAGGGGTGGTGCTTTTGTACACATCTGCAGTTCTCGCTGTTGCCTCTTTTGCCATCTACATTCGATCTATCGCGGCCGCACTTCGCAATTTGTAATTTCTATAACCTGGCCTATCCACTGGTATATGTGCAGGGCAGGGATGGCTTACCAATGTTCTGCTTTGTTGTGTTTATTAATCCAAAAGAGAGTCTAGAGATTGTAAGGAGTGTAGTGTGAAATTTAGGCAGAGTATAAGCAACATGCCACGAAACAGCTTTTTGTTGCAGAATTGAGTGGCTACCCATATATTATCTGTTGTTACTTGCCTTCGAAGTTTACCCTGTCAGAAACCAGCCACCATACCCAGCCCCTATGCTCACCCCTTCGCTGAAATTCCTACCAGTCCCTCTCGTTTTGGCCTGGGGGATGCAGCTACAGAGAGCTGAGGGCGATTCCACTACTAGGGAGTGGAGTAGAGGTGCACCACTTTGTTGCTTCTGACTGAAGCAGTGCTATCACGTGTGAATTTGTGGGCCACACATACAGTAAGTGTTACAGTTAGTGCTCGCAGAACGACAACCCACAGAAAAGGATCAGCCAAATACCCTTCACACTTCTAATTTTTGCACGCCAATCGGCCTAGACGGGGTGGCACGCACCCCAAACCTGAAGTGGCCATCGAAGTGTCATCCTGCTGGAGCTTGTCCATCACACTCCCACACTCACGAAATCCAATGATGGATTTGAGGCTCTTTGGCTCAAATTGGGCTCAGGCAGCTTGAGGTTTTCTTTTGTGCATTTTGTTGTTCCACCTACAGATTTTCTCTCGACAGCCTGACTAAACCGGTGTTCGCAGATTTGGTTTCAGAGTTCATGTTTAGGCTGGATCCACAATTCTTCGTTCGCCAGGGACTCTCATTCTGCTTCCTTCCAGCTAAATTTTCTCTGATTCTTTCGCACCTCTTTTCATCACAGCTGTGCTGGCACTGTGCTGCCAAATTGGCAATCGACCTCTTGGAAAAATCATTGTAAGATTCCACCATTTCTCTTACGCGTTTGTCGCTTGTAGCATCGCATGGGTTTTCCTGGTTACCCCGCAGCTTTGTGTCCCACTGTTTTTGTGTACATGGTTTTACAACCATATACCCGATTGTAGAATCAATTGTCACATTACTTCGAACCTGCACATCAAGGTGGCGGACAGATTGTCTGCGCCTGCGAGTTTTTGTAATTGGCATTATTACACAGACAAATGTTTTTAACCCTTGGTACAGTTGAACCTTGCCGAAGTGCTTGTGGGACCCAAGTTCCAACCCAACCCAACCCAGCTCCCTCGCCATCCATACGTCCAGCAAGGCCTTCTGCTACACGTCCACCACAGTTCCTACTGTATTTGAAAAGCGCGTGGAACAGAGCGAGGGGCAAGCTCACGTGGCACTGATACGCTGCTCCCGAAGAAACTTCGTGTGGAGTTTCCCTCGCAACGCGCACTGGGGTCGTGACTCGTGCTATCTCGACTGTGGAGGAAGGCAGCTTGTTTCTGACCATGAAACTTATATCTGATGAAGTGTATACATTTCATTAGTATTATGGAACCATGTTTTTATGAAGTGGTCGGTAAGAACTATCGGCCGATGCTGATGCAGCATCGTTGCGGTCTGAAGTTTTGAGGTTGTACATGTAGCACTTTGCACTGAGGCTTCAAATTTATCGCGGTGCGGGCTTGCAGGTTGCGATGGGGGATGGGGACAATTTCACGTTCAGCCGGTTTCATGCTCGGCAGGTTGTGTTCTGTAACGGATGTGTGTGTGGGGGGGTGGGTGGCAGCGAGCTGAGTCAGGAGGGACTGTGGATGAGCGGAAGAGTCGAGTCAGGTAGGGACGGACTCTGGGAGGGCGAAGGACTCTGGCGAGGAGGAAGGACTCTGGATGGTCGGGCTGAGGAGTTGAGTCAGGTCAGGGAGTGGGGGACTCAGCCCGAGGGATGTGTGGGATGGGGTGAAGTGGTGGTGGTGAGTGGGTTGAAGCGTCCGCTTGCATTGCACTCAATTGCGGTTGTTTCTGTCCCGCCACCTCATCATTCCACTTGTCGCGCTGATTGGCATGGCTTGACGCGATGTGGCGTTGAAGCTTTCCCCTCAAGCTTCCTCGGTGAATGACATTGCTGCTGCTTTTGCCCAAACCGCCAAATGCACCTCAACTGCCATCCCCTCGTGCCCCCGACACTCATTACACACTGATTGTTGGAAGAAACAACACTTCCAGGTGATTGTTGAAAGAAACAACAGGCACAACTGGGGTTGCCTCATACAATTCATTCGTACAGTTGCGACTGTAAATGCAAGGCGTGGGTGGGTCCTTCCCCTCCTCGCCTCTGGTTGACACATACCCATTCCACCGTTTTCTAGCTGTCCTAGATATTCTCGTTCTCCGCATTTGTAGAGATACGAGCGACTGTCCTTGCAAAAAAAACTCCCTCAATCTTCCCCATTGCTTGATAACCCGTCCACCGTTCTTACTCGTGAAGTTGTCCTTCATCAACCGAGTATTTTAGTTCCTCGCCAAAGCCTTTCTTCATCTGTGTTAGGCTCAAACAGTTCAGCCTTTCACTACCGTTCAATCTTTCATTATCATTCGTTCCTCATCAAATGGATCGCGCAAATGCTTGCATGGCGTACGATAGTCTACCCTTCCCTTCTAAAATTCTTGGCGCGAAGGCCGCCGTCCCCGACGCAGCTCGCGTCTTCTCCGCGAGTGACGACGTCGCGGAGCTGCGCAGCCATGGGGAGGCTTCCGCCCGTCCGGGGAGTTTCGCACGGGCGGAAAGTTCCACGTACGATGATCACGCGGGGTGGAACGTTGCGGAGTCTGACCTCGAGGCTGTCTGCTCCATGGATCGCTCGATGTCGCACATGCGACGACTCGCTCGCGACGGCGACGGGGGCGACTGGGGCGACGACGAGATGACGGAGAGCGACGAAGTCGACGACGAGAGCGTGTGCGACACCGCATGCAGCCGGCCTTGCCCAGGAAACGCGGAAGAGAGCAGCTGGGATAGTTACGATCAAGACATGGCAGCGAAAAACAATACTTCATTTGGGATGATGAGGGCTGAGGCCATCCGGATTTTGTCCCGGGCACAATCGCAAGGAATCCTGCCCGCGAATCTTTCTCCGGAAGCGCAATCGGCGCTCATCTCGATGCTATTAAAGCCTGTGCGCGGGTCCGTCGTGCCGCACGCTGCATCCCTTTCCCGGACCGTCAGCGGCGTTAGCTCGTATGCGACAGCACCTTCCCATTCCACCGCGGCTGATACCGCAGCGGCGTGCACCGCATCACCGCCAGTTGGAACCGGTTTCGTCGAGTCGTCGCGATTTTCCGGCGAGTCCGGCGACAGTTGCGGAGAAGAGACGGACCCGTACCACGGACTTGGCCCTGCGCTTGACGCTGAGATTGCGGCCATGGCTTCCGAGGATTTGGAAGTTCTCGACATGGATATAATAATGGAGTTCGACGTGGATACAGACACTGTTGGGTGTCCGGATGACGGCTTTTGATCGTCAAGTTCTGACGAGATTCGTTAACGAATTTGGGTGCCCCGAGTTCTCGTGATTCAACCTCAGGTCTCTGGCCCTCCCACAACAGGGTCACCTTACATGATGCCCTGAGTCCTGACCAAATCATGTTCTTATTTTTGCACTACGTACTAAACTAATTCCTTCCGTCAAAACTGTAAAATCTCCTCGTCAAGTTATGTGACGAAGTCCAGCACCCGTCATGGTAGTTCTGGGCCGGTGATTGTAAAAAACTGAAATGGCTGGGTAGGGTATTCAGAGAAAACTGTTAACACATATATTTCTATGGAATTGCCTGTAGTATAGTCAATGTAGATTTATGTTACAGTTTGTTGGTGGTGCACCTTACCTTGCCTGTATTTCTTCTCTCCTCCTCTCCATATTGAAAATCATCTTTCCTCGGTTTTTTTTTGTTTTTGTTTTTGTTTTTTTTTTGTTTAAGTGTGGTTGGTAAAGGTACCTCATTATGGATTCAAAGTAGTGGTAATTAAGATAAGGGGTATTAGAGGAAGGTAGAAATGGTGGAGCAAAGAAAGGGTGATAAGGAGAGAAGAGCTGGAGAAGAAGAGAAGCGCCGAAGGAAAGGTGGAAAGAGGAAAAGAAGAGAGGAACAAACTAAAGGAAGGAAACACCTAAGGGTACATTCCGCTGTGGACATGTCCAAGAATCTTGAACTTGAAAAATACCATGCTGTACCCGGGCTTTAAGAAAGCGTCGCAATCGATTGTGACGCGTGAATACAGCATATGCTGCCAGGTGTCAGGATTCCAGACCGCGTGAGAATGTTCTGGCGTGTATTTATCATTGGATACCGTGAACCACGGAACAGTCGCACGCGAATTGCAAGCAACCGTGTCTTGGACCAGCCATCGCACGCGGTTCCAAATGTCAGGCCCATCTGCCTGTATCTGGACATCTAGTTACAGCTCGAAAATTTCACACGATTGTACAAAACGAGCAGGGATTGGTTGTTTAGAGCGCGAAAAGATCGCGACAATCCCGCGCCTGTCATCTCAGCAGGCCTGTGCTACATTGGGTGCGAAGTGGCAGTTTTGTCTGCCCATTATGGCCACACCCAAACTTTTCGAAGTGTGCATCGTGAATGTTGGAGCCAATCATGACGCAGCACATGTGATTGTCGCGCACAATATCCAGGTCGCAATACATTCATTCTTTGTGACATGAGGTGTCGAGACATTTGGACGCGACTCGGCGGAAAATCGATTGCGACACTTTCTTAAGGGACATGTCCACAGCGGAATGTACCCTAAGGACCAGAACACCATAGCAACCCGCACCACAGCGCGGGACACAGCCTTTCAAGCACAATCGCTAAACGCCTACACATATGCATCGTACATATACTGCATGTCTGCCACGCTCTCAAAGCAGCCGGTAATGTGATGCAACTGCCCTGCCCTGCACCCAAAAGGACTGATGCGGGCATCCACCCATCGTCTGACCCTCCCAACTGCCGCACCGCGTGCTGTATAATACTCTGAGCCTGCTCTCGCTGCAGTGCCACGGAAAGTCGTGTAGTGA